TGCTGGGATTTGAACCAGGTCTTCTGCAAGAACAACCAGTGCTCTTAACCACTGAGCCATCTCTCCGGCCCCCATACTTTGTTTTCTCTTTTTTTAAAAAAATTTTTATTTTAATTTGTACAGGCAGGATGGTTCATAGGGTAAAGGCACCTGCCGCCAAGCCTGGTGACCTGAGTTCTATCCCCAGGATCCACATGGTGGAGGGAAAGAACTGACTCCTGAAAGTTGTCCTCTGATTCTACATCTACATGATCTACACCACAATGCACACGCCCATACATACACATTACATAGGCACACACGTGTGTGCACACACACAAATGCACCCCTAAATGATTTTTTTCATTAAAGGTGAGTGTGTGTGTGTGTGTGTGTGTGTGTGTGTGTTGGGGTTGGAGAGATGGCTCAGTGGTTAAGAACACTGGCTGTTCTTGAAGAAGACCCAGGTTCTAATCCCAGCACCCACATGGCAGCTAACAACTTGCAGAAACTCCAGTTCTAGGGGATAAGACAACCTCTTCTGTCCTCTGCGAGCATTTCATGACACGGGTACACTTACCTACATGCAGGCAATACACGCATACACATAAAATACAAATAATAAAATATTTTTTAAAAAGGTGTGTGTGTGTGTGTATGTGAGAGAGAGAGAGAGAGAGAGAGAGAGAGAGAGAGAGCTGAAGGCCAGAAGAGGAAGTCATATCCCCTGAAGCTGGAGTTAGAGGTGTTGTAAGCTGCCCAATGTCAGTGCTGGGACTCAAACTCTAGTCTTCTGCAAGAGCAGCAAGCACTCTTAATCGCTAAGTTATCTCTTCAGCCTCCTAACCCAACTTTAAATTGTTATCATTTAGAACAACAGCAATCAACTTAGAAGAACTATAGAAGTATATCTGAAACACGAAATATTTCTAGAGGGGTCATAGGAGTATTTATTTTTCTTTGGTGGGGACAGGGTCTTACATAATGGGAGGACACAAACTGATTATGTAGCAAAGGCTAAGTCTGAACTTCTATTTCTCCATGCCAGGTTTATGTGGTGCAGGGGCTCAAACACAGAACTTTGCATGCAAGCACTCTTCTCGACTACACTACATCTCAGACTTTAAATTTTGACACTACATATTGAGGTAATGTCTGATATTATAAAAGCAGCATGAACATATAGAATCAGAATTAAAACAAAAAGAAAGCAAAATGCTTCTTTCAGGGTAAAGAAAAAATATAGGGTCAAAAAATAAAATAATAGGGCTGGAGAGATGGCTCAGCAGTTAAGAACACTGGTTGTTCTTGCAGAAGACCTGGGTTCGAATCCCAGCACCCACAAGGCAGCTAACAACTGTCCGTAACTCCAGTCCCAGGGGATCTGACAGCCTCTTCTGACCTCCTCGGGCATTGCACGACACAGGTGCACTTATCTACATGCAGGTAATACACGAATACACATAAAAATTAAAATAAAAAGTAAAATAAAGTTATACCAAAGTGGTAAACTAACATATTAATCCATTCAGGAAAAAATAGGGCGGGAACCCCAAAGGGAGGTAATGTTCACTTAGCCTGGGGGTAAAAAACAAACCTGATATAACTTAGCAACAGGAGACAGTAAAGAGAGAAGTGCTTACTATTTTAAGCCAAATTAAAATCTCCTGTGAGAGGCCCAGAAAAGGTATCAAGATTGTTTCTGCCTCAATTCATTAGTCTGTAGATCCAAAAAGAAATTACTTTTCAATTTATTGTACTAATTTTAGGGAGTCAGGGTATTCTTTTCCTTAGAGAACAGATAGCTCAGTTAAGTGTCAGAGTGAATGCAGAAGCTATTTGCCCTTCATTAGGAGTATGACCACATAAGTGTGTGGTGTAGGAAAGACAATCATTTGAAAGGTGACTGAGGTGCTGGGTTAGCTCAGTCATACAATGTTTGTTCAGCATGTGTAAGGCTCTGGGTTTAATCCCCAGCATTGGAGGAAAAACAAAACAACAACAACGAAAATAGAACAAAACTGGACATGGTGGTATATGTCTGCAATTCCAGCACTAGGGAGGAAGAGAGAAGAAAATCAAGAGTTCAACCAAGGCTAGCCTCATCAGCTACATAACAAGGTCAAGGTCAGCCTGGGCTACAAGAGACCTTGTCTCAAAAGCAAAATAAAATGAAACAAAACAAGAGCTGGGGGATGGCTTGATGGATAAAGTGCTTGCTGTGTAAGCATGAGACCTGAGTTCTGATTCCCAAGCACCCATGTAAAAACTAGGCCCAGTGGCATGTATCTGTAACCCTGGCAAGAGAGGAATGGAGACAGGTAGGTTCCTGAAGCTTGTTGGCTAGCCAGTCTAGCAAACCAGTGAGCTGCAGGTTCAGTGACCTCAAAAAATAAGGTGAAGAGTGATTGAAGAAGACAACTGATATTGACCTTTGACTGTCACAAGCATGGGAAAACAAGTGCACACATGAGTGAACAAGCATACCACACATACACTAAAAACAGGGGTAAGGGGGTGAGCCTCTGGCATGGTAGTGCACACCTATAATTCCAACACTTAGGAGATTGAGACAGGAGGATCAGGAGTTCAAGACTAGCTTCAGTTATACAGCAAGCTTGAGGCCAGTCTAGGTTACATGAGACCCTATTTCAGGAAGCAGGGTGGGAGGGGAAGAAAGGGGAGGAGAAAAAAAAAGTTGATTGAGTCATATAGATGACTTAGCTCTTACAATCCCATAAAAGATGTTACATTTCCAATACATCAATTTTCCTATAGTGGTCTCAATATATTTGGCAACTCAATATCTACTGCATCTTTGATGATGACTCAAAAGAGATTTAAAATATTGTGGGGTCATTTTCATTATCACAGTGATAGTGAGGAGAGTGCTACTGACATTTAGTGGGCAGGGCCAGGGATCTAGACATTATTATAATTATTTGTGCTTAGAAACTAATTGTATCCTACACACTGACAAAAATATTTTTTCAAGACTTATTTTTATTATTTTTAATTACATGTATGTGTGTGTCTGTGTGCAGATATATACATGTGAATGCAGTGCCCTGGAGGCCAGAGGCAAAATGGATCCTCCAGAGCTGGAGTTACAGGCAATTGTGGGCCATCCAATGTGGGTGCTGGGAATCAAACTCAGGTCCTCTGTAAGAGCAGTACTTGCTCTTAACCACTTAGTCATCTCTAACCCAATGAAAGTATTCTTATGTATTTTAAATTTTTATTTATTTTTATTTTGTGTGTATTAGTGTTTTGCCTGCATATATGCCAGTGCACCACATGCATGCAATGCCCATGGAGGCACGTTGGATCCCACGAAACTGGAGTTGCAGACGGTTGTTAGCCGCTATGTGGGTTGCTGGAAACCAAACCCAGGGCCTCTGGAAGAGCAACCAGTGCTCCTAACTCCTGAGCCATCTCTCCAACCCCTTTTATCGTTTTAATACAAACTAATAAAAGCTTTTCCAGGAATGCAACAATTGTATACTTAACAGAGAACTCTGACTTTCACAGTGGTTTTTCAGAAGTTAGAAAAGAGTTGTATGCTATTTCCTATTAATTGGAAATGCTGCTCTAATAGTCTGGAAATAACATACTGCCAGCTGCGAATGGTGGTGTATACCTGTAATTCCAGCACTTGGGAGATGAAGGCAGGAAGATTAGGAACCCAAGGTCAGCTTCATCTATATAGCAAGCTGGAGGCTAGCAAATTGGAGACCAATACAGGTTACATGAGACACTGACTCAAAACATAAGCAAGCAAACAAAATAAAAAACCCCTATAGTTTCATCTCTCTGCATTTGTAGTTATGAGTCAGTACAGATATCTGACTTTGTATTACAGTGCTGGTTAAGCATTTACATGCTGAAATATATTTTATTATTATACATTACTTTCCTTTTATTTTTCCTTCACATTTTAGTTGAGATTTTATATCCAATTTTAAAAATTATATATAACTAGGCAGGTAATATCTGAATTCCACTTTGGTATAATGCAGGGGCACTGAAAATATTTTTCTTATAAAGAGAAGATAACTCTGCCTGGTCTAAACTGATCATAGAATTCTACTCCCCTTAGCAGGGCATAGGATCCAGTTCTGCTGGGTGTAACATGATGGGACATTCTGCAGGACCTCTGGGAAAGGTTTTCTTGCTCTTAGGAAGGCATGAGTTTATGAACACTAGAGTAACTGTGTTTTTCTGTCAGCCTGTGGAGATGTAGAGACAGGTCCAGATGAATTACATGAAATGAACAGGGAGTCTCAAGAGCCTGTCAGAAGTCTGCCTTCCAGTTAGACTTTAACAATAATGTAATAAATTCCTTTATCTTCAAGTTGGATCTGTTCAAGTCTTCCCCCCACACCGCCCCCGTTTCTGAGACAGTCTCATTATGCAGCCCCGGAACTCTCTACATAGACCAGGCTAGCCTCAAACTCAGAGATCTGCTCTACCTCTGTTGGGATCAAAGGTGTGTGCCATCACACCTGGTCAGATTTTCTTATTTGTTGCTGAAGGCAGAGAACATGTTAAGATTGCCGTATAGAAATGACACTGGAAAGGAAGGTAAGGCGAAGCAGTGTAGCACAAAGCAGAAGCATTCCCTTGCTCATATTAGTATATATACTGATGTTCAAGTCTTTTTTTTTTTTTGGTCTTTTTGAGACAGGGTCTCCCTGTAGCCCCAGCTGTCCTGGAACTCACTATGTAGACCAGGCTGGCCTTGAACTCACGGAGATCTGCCTGCCTCTGCCTCTGCCTCTTGAGTGCTGGGATTAAAGGTGTATGCCACCATGCCCGGCTTCAAGTCTTAATTCTGTGATTTTCTCACTGTATAACCCTGGACAAATTAGTTAAGCCCCCTGCACCTGCGCTTCCTTGTTTACAAACTGGAAAAAAGAATACCTGCTTTATATGACATTATGTGGATTAGCATGGTACTGGCAGGCGGAAGCATTCAATAGCTGGTAGCAATTATTAAAAGGAAAAGAAAAAGTACTCACAGCAGTTTGTGCAGTGATGTGTGTGCAACCCACAATTTTGGCTCCAGCCAAGGGCTTTTCTCCTTGGGCTCTCTTCCTCAAGGCCATCAGTGCAGGCATCTCTGAAAAGGTATAATACAAACACAGCAATATTTTTAAAAAGGGAGTAAGAGATAAAAGAATAAACAGAAAATGACTTGTTTAAGGTACTTTCCTTGGTTAGCTTTTCAGTTAGATGGGGTTCCTGAATTTTCTCTGAGTAGCTTTCAGAGGCACATACTCCAGGATTTTGATCCCCTATATGTCAGTCTTCCTTATCCAAGGGTTCCTTCTAGACCTATCAGAGTTCATTCCCTCCCCACAGTGTTTCCTCAGCTCAGATTCTTTTGTTCCAAGTATTCTTCAGGAGCTGGGCATGGTGGCTCATACTTATAATCCCAGCACTTAGGCGGCTAAGGCAAGAGAAACGCCTGGAATTCGAAGTCAGCCTGGGCTACAGAGTGAGACCCTGTCTCAGACAAACAAGCAAACAACAACAAAAATAATCTTTAGTATCACATGGAAATTTTACAAGCTATCAGATCCCAGAATGTACAAAGGGATTCACATAACAAAATGACACAGGTAGATGGAAAAGGAAAAGGTGCTTGTTCTTTACCTTGTTCAGCAATTTCAATTTCTCTGCGTCCAAACTCCGCCTGTTTGATGTTCTTGACACAGAAGTCACTGCTTCCCTTAGAGTTCTTTTGCTGCTTGTCCCTGGGAGATGTCTCATCATCAGAGCTATCTGTATACGAAGCCGCTGGAACACAGAAGAGACAGCCCTCAGGGAAAAGACTGGCTTCCTCAAATTCCAAACCACAGAAGGAGCTGAGGGTTCTCTAATCATTAGCACCATACAATTTACCCCCAGGAAGCTCCTTAATGAAAGATGGGATTGTACCAATCATCTCCTATGGAAAGTGCTCTCCACAGGCCAAAAAGGGGAGGCTGTACTAACTTCTCCTTCAGAACACACAGAGGCATATTCTCTTTGAATATGCAATGACAGAGAAATTGTCCCATAGGTTAAAAGTTCTTAATGCAAGCCCATGGTCATTAACCCATGATTTTCTACCCTCACAATTACCCTTCTCTGCTGCTTAAATGGCTAAAGTAATTTGCTTTTTAGTACAATAATTGAACAGATAAGGCCTAGAAAACAAGGAACCCATGGGAAAGTAATTAAGAACCACACAAAAGAAGTTTGTCTGACACAGAGCTGTGTTTTTCAGGACTGGCTCTGATGAGGCAGAACTATTCCTGCAGACCCAATTAGACACTGACAATGAACTATTCACCGTGTTGTCCTTACTGGCTTCAGTAAGAAGGGATCCTTGGTGTTTTAAGTTTCCAAAGCAGCAAATAAATCCTCTTTTGGTATAATAAAATGCTCTGGTGACTAATCCATTAGCAACACACTAGCATTTCAGTGAATGGTTCAGGCTTGATTGTAGCCAATAGGCAGTTCCTGCTACTGCATTCACAGGCTCTTTTTAGTCTTTATATTTATATTATTTATTTTTATTTATATTTAGTCAAGGTCTTTTTAGTCTTTATATTAAATTCTGTAGTTGCTAATCATTTCCTGAACGATTTGAAGCAATTTGTTCCCTTGGTTTATGTTTACATTTCAGAGGACAGTTTCTCCTAATCCTCATAATTTTGGGGAGAATGTTAAATATAAAACACTGTCTATAAAGCATTTTCGCTCTCTCAATGCAGTAAGTCCTGCCATCAGCACCAAGGGGAGAAAGCTGCAAAAGCTCAGAGCTCCTTGATCAATGGTACTCTGATCTACTTATATCCAGGGCATTAAGGCATTTCTGGAATTTCTTAGCAGAGGGTCTATCAGGGCAGGGGCTGGAGGGTGGACTGTAAAAGGCAAGTCTGACCTTGCCCAGTTAATCAAGTATAGCACTACACACTGTAGGGTCAGCAGGGGCTCGAAGATCTCTTTCTCCCTTTGGAAAACTGCCCCAGAGCAAAGTCCTAGCATGAGGGCACAGGAATGAACATGGGCACCAGGGGAGGTGAGGGAATTAGTAAACCCCCGAAGGGACTTTTGTTCTTGAAAGGAGCTAATCTGTACAAAAAGTTTTTTGGTTCCCCCTCCTAGGGTAAGAGAGCTCAAAGTGCTTTTGGCAATACAACCCAGAAATGGTTTTCGGGGCAGTCATCTGTTTCACTTATCAATATTCTGATATAATTTAAGCGTTAGAGACTTAGGGGAGCACGCTTCTTCCACCAAGAAAAGAAAGGTAACAGCCTTCCCAATCCTGATTCAATTTTACAAGGAAATTGATTTTGAAAAAAAAAGAGTTTACACTCAGAATATTTTGAAGTTTTAAATCTTTAAAAAAATTTTTTTTAGCAGAACCATGATGATTTCTATGCTCTCTAATGGCCACTTCAGTATAGTGATCAACAAGGCTGGCATGGTGGCTCCTGCTAGTAATTCCAGAGCTTGGGAGACAGAGGCAACAGGACTGAGAGTTCAAAGCCACCCTGGGCTACAGAGTGAGACCCTATCTCAAAATTCCAAACATGAAAAATAATAAAATAATAAACATAGTAGGTGCCATGTGTCATTCCATATGTGGTACAGGTGGCAAGTGTGGTGGTATATACCTGTAATTCCAGCACAAAAGAGGATGAGGCAGAGAAACTGTGAGTTGGAGGCCAGCCTGGGTTACATAGTAAGACCCTGTCTCAGAGAACTATGGGCTGGATGCATCCCAATAGAACACTTTACATGCATAGGACATGGAACACTCTGGGTTTGATGCTCAGCACCTCAAAAATGGATTTCTTAGAGTCAAGTTGTTGAGAAGATTAAATAAGACATAGTCAATAAAGTGTTTAGCAAAATGATCAGCATACATTAATTAAGCATTTAATAAGCGATATCTGCTATTATTTGTTTTTGCACATTCAAATTCAGTATCACCTGTAAGTAACATATTTAAGGGTTCTGCTTCACTTTAGGGTTCTGACTGAGAGAAGAATGGCATACATACAAAATTATTTATTGGGTTCTTTTTTCCTACCTTCGTCATCGCCTACTAATTCACCAAAGCAGCAGGTGGTCGGCTGGCAATGACTAAAAAGGTTGAAACTGGAGTCCTTACTCTACCCAGAATGGCTCTCCCTTCCCATGCCTTTTCAGCTTCAAAAGATGAATTGGGAGGGGGGGAAAGCCTAAACTAAACAAAAACGAACAAGAACCCCTCCCCTTAACAGAACCCCTCCAATTTTTAAATTTGTTTTTTGTTTCCAATTTAAATAACAAAACTATTATACCATTTCCTTTTTCTAAAGCTCGAAAATGCAGTAGTTTACTTTCTTTTTTATTTATTTATTTTTATTTTATGTGTATGAATGTTTTGCCTGCGTCTATAAAAGTACACCATGTGCATGCAAACCTGTGGAGGCCAGAAGAGGACATCAGATCCTCCGGAACTGGAGTTACAGATGGTTGTTAGCTTTCACATGGGTGTTGGGAACTGAATTTGGGTCCTCTTTCTGAGCAGTCAGTGCTCTTAACCACTAAGCCATCTCTCCAGCCCTCACTCCCTACTTTTTTTTTGAGAGAAGGTCTCTGCTTATTCAAGTCTCAAAGTATCCAGCAAAATAAGCATCGTGGACAAGAAGACATAAATTTCTTTTGACTGTTCACATATATAAAGCATAGTAGAGGCCTCAACAAGGGTAGAAAGTATAGCAAGAATGCCTCTGGAATGGAATGTAGCTCAGCACCAGAACATTACCAAACACGCAGGAGACCCTGTGTTCTACCTCCAGCACTGGGAGTTTGTGTGTGTGTGGGTGTCCTTTAATACCTTTTACCAGGACTTATTTATTGGCCTCTTCTATGCCAAACATTGTTCTGAACACTGGGAATGTAACAGTATAAAATAGATTAAAACAACAACAACAACAACAACAAAAACTCTACTCTTGTGGATCTTGTACTCAAGTAGAAGGAGAAAGACAAAAACAAATTTGTAAAATACATAATAGATCATATACTATTAAGTATTATGGAAAATGCAATGTCCTTTGAAGAATACACTGAGGAACTAATTATCAATGTATCACCTTACATAGGACTTTTTAGGTGACAAAAATACTTAAACTCTACTTTCTTAGCATTTTTCAAGAACATAATAATGTATTGTTACAACTATAGTTATCATGCTGTTTATAGTTTTAAAAGAATACCTAGGATATACCCTAATGGGAAAATCATATTTCATGAAGCACTGAAGGTGGTAAGATAGTCAGCTACATATGTAGCTAGGAAAAGAATATTTCATGAAGAGTCAACAAGTGCAAAGATCTTGAAGCAAGAGAATGCCTGGCATGTTTCAAAATAAAAGTAGAGAAGCTAAGTGTGGCTGGGGAGAACTGAAGCACTAGGAGAGGAGGGAGGCTGGGGAAGTGGAGATGTGATCAAAATACAATGCAAGCTGGATGGTATAGAGACTTTTAGACACTAAGAATCTTAATCTTTAACCACAGTGGGAGAGGCAGCCACAGGGCTTTAAGCAGAGAAGTAACATGACCCGAGTTACTTTATTTTTACTTTGGTTTTTTATTTTCACCTTTTCTGCACTATTAGGGATCTAATACAGGGCCTGGAGCATGCTAGGCAAACACTTTACCAGGGAGCTATACCCCCAGCCTCTGACCTGATTTTTACATTTCTATTTATCTATTTATTGTGTTGTGTGTGTACACATGTACATGTGTATGTGTGTGGACTCCCATGTGCCGTGACACATGTGTAGAGGTCAGAGGACAATTTTTAACAGTCAGGGTTCTCTCCTATACATGGATTCTAGGGAATGAACTCAGATTGTCAGGTTTGGCGGCAAGCACCTTTTACTAGCTGAGCCATTTTACCAACTCACCTGATTTTCTTATTTGTTTTTTTTTTATTGTTTTACATTTACTTATTTATTTGTCTGTGTATGTATGTGGACTCATCTGTGCTATGGGATGCATGCAGAAGTGAAGACAATCAATTCTCTTCTTTCACTATATGGGTCCTGGGGATCAAACTCAGGTTGGCAAGTTTTGTAGCAAGTACCAGGCCAGCTAGTACTAGACAACAAGACCCTGTCTCAAAACAGCTACATACATACACAAGAAGACAGGCAAAATCTGTAAGTACTTGAAGCCCATTTTCAGCATGCATTATAATTTTTGTTTGTTTTTTGAGACAGGGTCTTCTAGTAGCCCCAACTAGCCTAGAACTCACTATGTAGACCAGATTGGCCTCAATCTCATAGAGATCTTCTTGCCTGCCTCTGCTTCCCAAGTGTTGAGTTTAAAGGCATGTGCCACCATGCCCAGTGCATTACGATTAAAATTTTTATTTTATTTTATGCTGGGTGAGGTAGCATACGCCATTAATATCAGCAACCAGAGGCAGAGGCAGGCAGAGTTCTGTGAGTTCAAGGCCATCCTGGTCTACATAGTGTGATTTCCTGGCCAGCTGGGGCTACAGGGAGACCCTGCCTCAAAAAATCCAATTTGTAACAATTTTATGTGTATGAGTATTTTGCCTGCATGTATGTTGGTGTGCCACTTGCATACAATGCCTGTAGAGTCCAGAGGAGGGCACTGCATCCCCTGAAACTGGAATTACTGATGATTGTTAGCCACTGTGTGGGTGCAGGGAACTGAACTCAGTCCTCTGGAAGAGCAGTAAGCACTCTTAACCTCTGAGCCATCTCTCCAGACTCTGATTATTATATTTTATCTCTTGCTCGAAAACTTCCTCTTTAACACACTAGATCTGTATATTCTATATTCAAGTGCCTGCCTAGTTCTTTTCCCTGGATGTTTTATAGATATTTTAAAACTCCTGAGTTCCAGCCTTACCCATCTTCAGTCTATTCTCAATGCTGCAGCCAAGTTCATTCTTTTAAAATAAATCAGGTGTGGGGCTTGCAAGATGACTGTGTGTAAGGGCTACTGCCTGTAATCCCAGCACTGGCAGGAGGACTGCTGTGAGTTCGAGGCCAGTCTGGTCTACACAGGCTACAGAATGAAACCCTGTTTCAAATAATAAATAAATAAATAAATAAATAAATAAATAAATAAATAAATAAATCAAAAATAAAACAAGCAGGATGTGGCAACACATGCCTATCATCCCTGTATCTGGAAGGTAGAGGAACGATCAGGAGTTCAAGTTCATCATCAGTGACATAAAGAGGTCCAGGCTAGCTTGAGTTGTATGAGACCCTCTCTCAAAAAACACACAAACACTGAGTTTATGGAAATAATACTTCCTAGAAATTAGGCCACATGATAGTTCAAATACTATGTGCCTAGATGCACTATTTTTGAAAATATAATCTGGAATGTATTCAAATGAACATAACCAGGAAAACTGAATATTCTAAAAAACAGAATAAAAATGGTGAATTTTATTTATAAAAGTTTATCTCTAAAATATTTAGATTCTAGAGCGTATATAAAGGCTTATGCTTATCAGAAAAATAACTAGATAAGCCAGGCAATCCTGTCCTTTAAAATACTCTGCAATACTCTGCTTTCTCTTCAGATCACACAGATCTTTTTAGAAATATTCTCTTGGGGGCCACATTGACATTTGCCAGAGATGCCACACTCACATGGATGACAATTTCAATATCCACTGCACAAAATCTTTATGTTCTTCTCCAAAACCAGGATGCTTTGACTGTTTCTGAATCTAATATCCTTAAATGGATATATCAGGTTGATAACATTTGACTTATAAAAATGGCAGCTTCAGCCAGCTATGAATATACTAGTTCTGCCAAGAAATCCTCTCTATGTGCACTATTCTCATAATGGATTTGAAATTAGGGTAAATCTAGGTCAAATTGCAGAGGTCGTCCCTGAATCATAGTCTCTCCTTAGTTTACTGCCATTCATGCAGCAAATAGTACCATATGCTATGATTCAGGTACTATCTGATGTATCAGAGATACACCTGTGAGAGACAGGCAAGGCTCTGACTCTCATGGAATGTATATTTGTACACACATATAGAGGGGCAATAAATGTAATTTTGAAAAAGAAAATAAATAAAAATGGCAATTTCAAGTGGTTCAATGTAAAAGACCCAAATTTATCAGGATGAGACCAGAATGAGCTACATATAAGCATGGCATGCTTACTTAGACCCTAAGGGACTGGCTGGGTGTGGTAGTGCATACCTTTGATCTCAGCACTGGGGAGGCAGAGAACGATCTCTGTGAGTTTGAGGCCAGTCTGGTCTACATAGTGAGTTCCTGTCTCTCAAAAAAAAAAAAAAAAAACCAAAAAAACCCCACAAGGGATCATCGACATTCTTCTAGGTACACAGTATTTTTTAAGTATCCTCCCTACTGAAGGTGCTTGGGTGGAAGACAGGTATTGGTTTCCTCTGCAGGAACAGATATGTGGGTCTGGCTGTATAGGGAAGAGATTGAGAAAAAAAAAAAAAATCATACCTCAAAATGTTTACATATTATTCTACAATTTATATTTTCACTTTATGACTTTCAAAACTATATTAACCACTTCATGAATTCTCAACACAATTTGTTTGAATAGAATAATATAAGTATAAAATTCCATGTCCTGTTGGGCATGGTGGCACACGCCTTTAATCCCAGCACTGGGAGGCAGAGGCAGGCGGATCTCTGTGAGTTCAAGGCCAGCCTGGTCTACAAAGTGAGTTCCAGGACAGCTGGGGCTACAGGGAGACCCTGTCTCAAATTTTAAAAAAAAAAAAAAAAAAAAAAAAAAAATATTCCATGTCCTTAGATAAAAATCCAAAGAAATTTATATCATATTTTGCCTCATTCTAATTATTGTGAGAAGATAAATATAAATAATGTGTAAATAATAATCTGCCCAATCTAAAAGCTATGGTTTTCCAAATACTGTACACAATAAACACTACTTCCTTGTTCATGTAAAGAACAAATAAAATTTCAGGTCATGAAAAAAATTTCCTAATGAGGGGCTGGAGAGTTGGCTCAGTGGTTAAGAGCACTGGCTGCTTTTGCAGAGGACCCAGGCTCAATTTCCAGCACCTACATGGCAGCTAACAACTGTTGGTAACTCCAGTTTCAGGGGATCTGACAGCTTCTTCTGACCTTTGTGAGCACTGCAAAACCCAGGTACACTTACACACATGCAATACAATCATACACATAAAAAAATTTCCTAATGAGTATTACTATTTAATTTTAATTTTATGGGTATGACTATTATGCCTGCGTGTATGTAAGTGCACCTGTGTTGTGCAGTGCCCAAGGAGGACTGAAGAGAGTGTTGGAGCCACTGGAACTGGAGTTATGGACAGTTGTTAGCCACCATGTGGGTGCTGGGATTCAAACCCAGGTCTTCTGTAAGAGCAGCCAGTGCTCTTAACCACTGAGCCATCTCTCCAGTCCACGTATTACTATTTATAATGCGAAGAGGTAGCCATGGCAAACTCTTAGCTCTATGCCACATTCTAACACAAGAGTCAAATAAAATAGCCTTATATTAGATTAGACTCATGCTGGGAACTGCTGCACAAGCAGCCATTGCCTTCAAACGTCCACATGGTAACAGCTCACCTAATATTAATTAATAACTCCGCCCCACAAAGGAAGGAAGGAGTAATAAGCAACACAACATCACAGCTTTGGAGAGAAGGCAAAGGGCCCACTTGCTTCAAACAGCTGTAGGATCTTGTTTTTGGGGGAAATTAAGGTTTTCCCATTACTTTGCAAGTACCACATAGAGGGATGGAAACCTTTTTTTTTTTCATTTTGAAAACCAATGTCTTTCTATATACCATTCAGTGAAGGTCACTGGTGAACTCCATGTTCCCATCCTCTGAATTAAAAATCAAAGAACTCGGGAACTAGAGAGATGGCTCAACTTCCCTCATCTTCCTCTTCTGCCTTTGTTGGAAATATAGACCTCAGGAAGCTTTGCTCTGAGTTTCCAAGAAACACAGAGATTCCATCCAGAATATGGGTTTAAATTTTGATTTAGCATATTTTTTCAAGACTTATTATCAAGAATAATGGTCCCTGGATGGAGGGGAAGTTCTGCTGATTATACCAATTAGCCTGGATAGGCGGTTCATGGCAGCTTAATACTCACCAGAGCTATAGCTGTCAGTAGATGATTGAGAGATGGAACGAGACAGAGAGCGACGTCCAATTTTGGTGGGACGTTTGTTGAATTCCTGCTTCTGGTCAGCAAATTGGATCTGCTAAGAAAAAGAACCTTCGTTATATAAAGAAAAGGAATCCTAGTTATATGAAGAAAAAGAATCTTTATTTTGAAGCAGGAATTCACAGCTTGCATTATTATAGATTGTCACCTTCCCATGCAGTTATTTGATTATACAAACCCATGTTTGGAATATTAAGACTCTTTGGGGGCTGGAGATGTAGCTCAGTTGGTAGCATGCTTGTTTAGCATATACAAGGTCCTGGGTTGAATCCCCAGCACTAGGGGTGGGGAAACAACACACCTTTTTGGATATGGGCATGGTGGTATACCCCTGTAATCCCAGCACTCAGGAGGCCAAGGCAGAAGAATCACCGTGAGTTCAAAGCTAGCCTCAGATGCATAGTGAAACCCTGTCTCCAAAAACAAAACAACAAACAAATGACTCTCTGGAGAGAAGAACAATTCTTCATTTTTCACCTATTGCATTTCTATCAAATTTAAGTCTTTGATTTAACGATTACATACTTTGTACATTATAACTGTGACACAGAGAGAAGAGAGAGGTATTTTGATTAAGGTAAACTGACTTGCCTCAAGCTTTCAGTTTCTTAGCAAGGTATATTAATTTTGAAAAGAGCTTTTATTCAGAAAGAACATTCTGAATCACATTGAAATCCTGGCTATGCCATTCATTAGCTGGGTGATGTTGGTCAAGATGATTTTGTGAGCCTCATTTTCCCATAAGTACAACAAAAATAAAAGTACTTCCATCACAGGTTTTAGAGAGGGTTAAATGACTCAACACATTCATTTGTGAGACACAGCAGGAGATTCAATCAATCATACTCACTTCCTCCTCCCTGTTCAGTGTTCTTGTAAATTTTACAAGTAACCACTTTGATTTGCTTAAAGAATTTCTAAAGTATGTTAGCTTTAGGATACTCATAAAAAAACACTAATTTTTAATGTTTGGTATCATAAAATATTTATATTTATTTATTTATTTATTTATTTTTTATTGGTCTTTTTGAAACAGGGTCTCCTTGTAGTCCCAGTTAGCCTGAAACTTGCTATATAGACCAGGCTGGGATTAAAGGCATGCGCCACCATGCCCAGCTTCATAAAATATTTTAAAAGCAATAAACCTGATTATTAACAATGACTACAGATGTGGAAGGAGTGGGTGACTGGATTATACTCAAATAATACTCTGCAGCTTGCATTTGGAAAATATCTGACAATAACTTTCTTGTAATTTTATCTGTCTCCTACAGTTGAAAGTTGCAGCTGATACTTTACAAATCAAAATTCATATCATTTATTCAATTAATAACTTTTTCCTTTTTTCCCAACTGAATGTTTGCACAATTTCTTAGATGATTCTTCTGGTTCCAAGGTGGTAGGGAGAAAAGTCTACTGAAAAAGAGCAAAGATATGACAAATGATTCTATTTTCAGTGACAGAAAGATGGATCCTTGATGGACAGAACTCAGCATGAAAGTGGCAGCTGCTGGCTGCACTGCTGCACTCAGAAGTAAGTCCTGAGTCACTGAGTACTGAGACAAGGCGACCAATGCCAAACTAAATTAGCTTAGCATTCACCACCTCTGAAGGGAATTCATAGCATTTCCATAACTATAACAACAAATAAAGCTTTTACAGTGCTCCAGAGTTTGAAAATTGTTTTCAGCAATAGGAAAATTCATTGGACTAGAAGCTCACTGTAAAATGAAAAGTGACAAGTTTGATTATTCTGCTAAAGTATCAATTTATTCCAAAAAGGATAAAGTGCCCTTTCTATGCCCTCTGAAGGGAAATTCATGAAGCTTCACGTCCTTCTAGCACAGCACTCATCATACTGTGTCTGTCTACCTTTCTGCATTCTCTGTAAGATATGGGCTCCATATGAGCTGGGTTATACTCTCAATCCCAAATACTTGCCACAGTCTAGACACTCAATCATGTGTTGAACAATGAACCTCAAATCACCTATTCTATCTTCACTATCTGTACTTGACTGAGTATTAGTAAACATAGTAAGCTTAAGTCTGAAAAAAGTAACTTTTAAGGGTTAACAAACATTGGAAAGAGGGAGAGTAGGGGCTGGGGTAGTGCAATGTCAGGTTCAAACATTGGCATTCACTTCAACCTAATTCAAGACAATCACGTATTCATCTTTTTCAGCAGTGCATCAAGGAAAAGGACTTTCCAAAGGCCACACCAAGTCAGTATCTTCAGTAGTTTCCCCCTTTAAAAAGCCTAACAGATAAATCTTGACTCCCTACACTAACCACACACATCCACATGTGTGTGCACACAGATATGCATGTGTACACAGAGACCACTAGAGGGGGCCAGTCTCTTCCTCTATAGGATGAGAATACTCCTACTTACCCCAGTAACACTAAGTCATACAGAAATCTAGCTGCACTGCCACCTCAAACCAGTGTCAGAGAGCTGAGCTTCCTGTTCTATAGTGTTTTTGTTTGTTTTGTTTTGTTTTGGGTCTTTTTCATCTTTTTGAGACAGGGTCTCCCCTGTAGTGCCAGCTGGCCTGGAACTTACTATGTAGACCAGGCTGGCCTTGAACTCACAGAGAGCCTCCTGCCTCTGCCTCCCGAGTGCTGGGACTAGAGTACTGGGACTAAAGGCATGTGCCATCACACCCAGCTTGTTCTATAGTCTTTTTACCTGTAATAATCCTTTCACCCATGACAAGCTCTTCAGGCACTAAAGAAATAGGTTGTACATTGAGAATCTAGAGGTCTTAATAACTGGTTAGACACTAAATTCAAGCTTCTTCCCCCCCCCCACAAGTTTCTTTAATACAAGAGAATATTAATGAGACTACTTAATATAGTAAATTATATAATTTTCCCAGTAACTAAAGCATGAGTTAAGTGGGTCATTTCTGGTACCTTTCTGTTTTCAGGAGCTAAGCACCATTACATTCCTCGTTCATTTTTATAACACAATGATCTGCCCGCCCCAGTTGTGGACAGAATCTTGACAGAATCTACCTAACTTTCCTACCTTGCCATACACTAGAGTCCGTGCAGGTTCCCCTCCTTTTCCATCTCAGCATTGCCTAATTCCATTAAGCATCAAGGCAAGGGGGAAAGAGGCTGTTAAGGGAGGGGTAGCTCACCATGCACCAGAGGGAAGGACGAAAGCAGGACAGGAGGGGAAGGAGAGAATAAGCAGCTCGCCTTGGACAGTAATGGCCACAGCAGCAGCACAACTGGTAAATAAGAGCTCAGCCTCACCTGGGCTTTAATCCCAGACTTCCTATTGACTATGTATTTCTTCTTGTTGCTCAGCATAGTGACATTACCAGGCAGAAGGTAATGATATTACCGGCAGTAGGCCACCTCTTTGGTACAAGAACCCTTGTGATCAGGCCTTTAAACTTTCCTCCTCAGCAATTCTGCTGGCTCTGGTTCCAGCTTCTTTTTTTTTTTCTCCCCCTTTTGAGGGGGGTGGCTATCCCTGAAGCAGCTCCAACAACCCTTTTAGTCATACAGTCTGGATTTAATAAGGCAGTTCTGTTAGTGGCTCGTCAGCCATTCCTAATTTGGTGGCTGTTTTGCTTTTATGATTATTTTTTCTAAACTCGTAATTACATGGCTCCTTTGACCTCTAAACTTTAACAAATCCCTAGACAAGGCCCAATATACATGTGCATAACAATAGCTTATTTATATAACCTATGGTATTTTTGGCTGCTATAATTAACTTGCTAATTAGGTTCCTTTTTAACCTTACCTCCTCCTTTTCTATGTCAGATGATTTTAGTTAACCTAGTCTCATTAGAAAAAAATTAACTACAGAGCCACTGAAACAATGAAAGAATTTATTAAGAGAAGAGAAAAAAAAATAATGGCGTTAAATGCTCAGGCAGCCCTATTTTATCCTATACTCTGTCCTTAGATTGCCAGGCAAGGGACACTAGATTCAGCTCTGTCACCAAAGAAATCAAAACAATGTTCTCATTCTATTTCTTTACCTATTTCCTTCCTTCCCTCTTTCCCTCACTCCTTCCCTCACACCTTTCCTCCTTCCTAGTATTTATTTATTTAGATATTGGGTCTCGGGGCTGGAGAGATGGCTCAGTGGCTAAGAACACTGGTTGTTCTTGCAGAAGACCCAGGTTCGAATCCCAGCACCCACAGAACAGACCCACATGGCAGCCTACAACCATCCGTTAACTCCAGTTCTAGGGAATCCGGTGCCCTCTTCTGACTTCCATGGGTATTGCATGATATAGGTGTCCTTAACACACATGCGGGCAATACACTCATACACATAAAATAAAAATAATAAATAAAAATTAAAAAAAATAGATATAGGGTCTCATGGTGTAGCCCAGGCTGACCTGTAATTCAAGATCTTCCTGCCTCCATTTCCAAAATGTGTCAACACACCTGACTTGTGCAACCATAGGAACCCCAGCACCAATGCAAAAAGCTGGGCATGGCTGTGCATGCCTGCAACCCCAGCATCACCAGGTAGCTAGAGGCTGATCCCAGGAGCTCACTGGTCTGTCAATCTAACCAAAATGCCGAGCTTCCAGTTCAGTGAGAGACCCCATCTCAAGGCAATAAGGCAGACAATAATAGAGGAAGATATCCAACGTCCTCCTCTGGTCTCTGCATGCACACATAACATGTGCACACCTGCATTCAAGTGTACATATACCACACAACACACACACAACGTTTCCAGAAGGTGTGACCACAAAGAATTTATCTCAAGAGTTTCTAGAATCACAGCAACCTTATTATATGCCAAATAAAGATTCAACCAAAACAAAATAACCACATTATTCATTCTAATTTCTGTAAGGAACCAGGGAAAGCGACACTAGGTTGCCTACTACAGATTTAGGTGGGAATATGATTTAATGAGAGAAGAGAAAAAAAGAAAAGCTTGCTGAGTGCAAGAAAGAGCAAAATGATAGATTAGTTTGGGAGGACAATCTTTCTTTTAAGACAAAAAATGGGCTGGAGAGATGGCTCAGCAGTTAAGAGCACTGGC